CTAGAAAGATTCTTGGCTTACTTCTAGTAACCTGATCCAACATCTTACACACTTTTTCCTGCCAAGTAGTTCCTTATATTCACTTCTCACCTATTCTTTATTTCTTTAGTTCTCACTGAAGAAAAAAGAAAATTCACAAACATCTTGTATATGTAGACCCAGGGGAATGTGAATAATGATCATTTTCTTGGGGACTGGGGGCCAGCTGGTTGGAAACCTCAGCATCCCCAGTGTTGAAATAATCTCCTGGCCAGATGTTTCCTTCACTGTTGGAACAGGGCACAGAGGCCCCAGTGGAAGACTCTCTGGGCCTAGCTTGGACAGCTGCATCAGCTGCATGTAGAGCAAATGGGACCCAAGGGTCCCATCAGGTCACCTTGCTGAGTATGAGTCAGGCCAGCAGCTCTTTATTTCTTCCTGTCTCTCCCACTTCCCACCACTCATCTCTGTGGGCAGCTGCCAGACCAGGGAACAAGAGTCAGGCAGGGGGAGGAGGTATTTCTTAATGGATCCTCCATCTCTTCAGTGGTTTGGGGTCTGGCAGAGATAATCCAGACCTGAAACAAATTGGCTCCTCCCCTGATGTATTTTGGTTAATGCTCTAGCTGCCGAGAAGCAGTCAGGCTTAGGGAAGCAAAATTAATTTCCCCTAGCTCTACAGAAGCACAAATCAAACTCCCACAGTTCTTTCTTCTCTTCTTTTTTTCTTCTTCTTCTCTCTGTCTCTTTCTCTCTCTAGCTATCTATATATCTGTGTGTCTCTCTGTCTATCTACCTACCTATCTATCATCTGTCCATTTGTCTGTATACTATCCATGGAGCTCCAAACACTGCCCACGGTTTGTTTACAGCCACTGACAAAGACTTTTCCTCTCAGGATCTGACCCAAGAGCTCTGAAGAGATATAGGAATTATCAAATTCCAAGTTCATCCTAGAAAATCTGATAATCCAAAGCACTCTTCATCATTCCTTCCCATGAAAGACAACTTTGTCACCAGTCCCCACTAAGGAGGCCTGGATAGCTGTTATCTAGCTCATTACAGACACGGAAAATGCAGAAGTCTAGGAGTCTTTTGTAATATCATTCTTCTGACTGGGGATAATCCTGATAACATATCTTTACTCCTTTTCTCCTTAAACTAGCTCACAAAGTATTTCTTTTCATTACAGACTCTTCAAATACAATTCATATAGATCTTTTTAAACTATTCTCCACCCACTCCCAGCCTTATACACTTCCATCTCTGATAGTCTTTTCACCTACATGTCATATGCTCAGTTGCCCTCTCTTCTTTTTCAGTACCTCTTTTCTACTTCTTCCCATCTTCTTTCTCATTTCATGCTCTACATCCACACTGATACTCAATAGTGGTTTTTTCTGTGTGTTCATACATATGTGTATATATACATGGAAAGCTAGGATCCCCATATGACAGAACATGCATCATTTGCCTTTCTGAATTTGGGCTATTTCACTTAATATAAATTCTAGATACATCTATTTTTTTTCTGAAATTTTCATTTTCCATATAGTAAAATAAAATTTGGTTGTGTATATATACCCATATTTTCATATTTTCATTATAAATCCATCTGTTGATACTAAGTTAATTTTCTTTTCTTGATATCATAAAGAAAGACCAGCAACAAACAAGAATGTACATTTGTCTCTGTGGCATATTCTCAATACTATTTCTTATAATTAATTCTTTGAGAAAACTCTAAGCTTATTTCTATAGTGCTTTCAGCCATTTGCCATAATACTAAGAGGGAATATGAGTTCTTTTCCCAAATCCTTATCAGCATTTATTGTCATATGTTTTCTTGATGGTGGCCTTTGTCACTGGGCTAAGATGGATTCCCAAATCAATTTTAATTTGCATTTCCTGATGGCTAAGGATGTTGACCACTTTAAAATATTCATTGGCAATTTGTGTTTCTTCTTTTAAGAACTGTCTGGTCACTTCCTATTGATTAACAGCATATTTGTGTATGTGTATGTGTGTTTCATTTTTTTTTTTCAGTTCTTTATATAGTGTAGATATTAACTCCTTATCTGAAGTATAGCTGACAAAGAATTTTCTCTCATTCTATAGGCTTTCTGATCACTCCACTAATGGTTTTCTTGGCTGTACATAAGCTTTTTAAATTTCATCTAACCCCATTTGCCCTTTCTAAGACTAATCTAGATGCCACTTTATTCTTGATTTTAACAATGCTCATTTAGATGTAAGCACTGTAACTATAACCCTATCAAGAGGGGGCTTAGTGAATATATGGTGGGAGTGTCATTTGAGGTTCAAATGTGATTCACTTTTGATTTCCTTTCCAAAGATATCTGTTACCCAACCAAAGTTCTATTCCTGACAGCTTTCAAATTTCAAAATCCTCATTGTATTCTACATCTTGCCTCAAATTGTTCATTCAAGTTTCTAAATCTTGTAGATGAGATAAGCAGAGATGAATTTCACAGAGAACCCTGAAGGTTAAAAAAGTCTCAGTTGGGTTCCAAAGAGGAAGGGAACTTAGAGAAGGTGCTAATGCAGTTTTGTAGAGGTTGTGGTCATTGTACTTCTGGTTTCTGCCACTTGCAGCCTTCTTTCATCTGAATGCTCTTAGAGATGCAAGTGGCACTAAATTGTCACTCTCCTGTCAGAAGAGATCAGTACTCAAGACATAATAGGTATAAATAAAAGTCTAGAAATACCTAGGTATGCTAATGCATACCTTTAATCCCAGTATTCAGGAGGTATAATCAAGTGAATCTCCATGAGTTCCTGGCCAGCCTGGTCTACCAAATGAATTCCAGGAAGCTGGGGCTACACAGAAAAATGCAGTCTCAAAACAAAAAACAAAAAAAAAATCTAGAAATAAAAAGGAACAGATGGAAAGTAACTCAAGTTTCATATGTTCATATTATCCCAGCAGATAGGAATCACCATGTCTCATATCAGTCATGTTTCACTTCCTCGGGAAATATGTTCATTGACACTGTGGGCTAATTTTAGCATACCCACAAATACAGGTAAAAAGTGAGCCAAATGATGATTTGTGATTCTCATGGAACACTCCATGAGAAGTCAAGTAACTTGTTTCTAGTAATGTTTGTTGGGAATCCGTAAGCAGGCGTCTCTATGGCCAGCCACAAGGGACCCAACAAATTGATTATTGGGCATTTATGAGGGTATCTGTGAGGCCATCTGCAGACCATCTGAAACTACCTGCACATGCTCTGGGTCGCTTTATAAGAGAACTCGAAGCCCCTCCTCTCTCTCACCTGCCCTATCCAGAGACAGTCTCTGAGACCCCTTTCCCTTCCCCCTAATAAACTTCCCACATTGACCCAGTTGCATGTTTTGATTTGTGAACCCACCATGTAACCCAGTTGTGCAATCCTAACAATGTTAGCAACATGTTTAGAACTGTGGCATTCAAGAGAAATCTAATTCTACTTTTGATGTCTCTAGAAAATTGTTAGCTGCAAAAAAAGTAGAAAAATTAAGATGAATTGCAAATAGAATGATAGCACATATATGAAAGATTTGTAGTGAGCTTGAATAAAGAAGTAACTAGAAAGTCTGGGGCTTCTCAATGGCACTTTTCTAAATTTTAATAACCACATTTTTCCTAGACATAACAAATGTCCTCTGTGGGAAAGAGGATATTGGACCAACTCTAACCCAGCACTATCTCATTGAGAGTAATTGCTTAAGTTCATCACTACTGCCTTACTCCAAGACCACCTAAATTTAGTCAGTCATTGGGGAAAGGAACTAGAATGCAGATAAGAATCATATTTCAAGGGGATATGTTCAATGGAAGTGAAACACAGAAAAATCCATAGCATTTGCTAGGTAGGCACAGGACCATGTCATAAAACAAGTGGAATCCAAGCAGTATGGCCTTTCTTACCACATTGTGAGCTTAATAGAAGTGATGATGTTAATGAAGTGGATCAAGATTAAAAAACCTGTATCAACAAACTTCAACAGTAGTTTCTACCAGCAGTTTACCCAAGGCCCCAAGGAAGTATACAAAATAGAAAAAATATTTGCATACATTTGCCTATCTAAATTTAGTTTCTTAATTCTGGGTTCAAATTAACCTAATCTCATTGCCTACTTGCACTCTGTCTGTTCTGAATTTTGCCTTTTTTTTTTAGACTATCCTCCAGCTACCTGTATCCCAAGATGACTGCACTAAAAATAATTGGAGCCTGAATAAGCCAAAGGACAAAATAGGGTAGATTAAAGCACACACACAAAAAAAAAAAAAAACAACTGGGTAAATTTATTTAGTGGCTACCAGGTAGGGCTAACCTTGGATATAGACCAAAAAGTAGTCATTAGTAGTCTGTTTAGAAAATAAATAGCAGGCAGGGTGTGGTGGCACACACCTTTAATCCGAGCCTTCAAAGGGCAGAGGCAGGCAGAACTCTGTGAGTTCAAGGCCAACCTGATCTACAGAGTGAGTTCCAGGACATCCAGGGCTAGACAGAGAATCCCTGTCTCAAAAAGGGGTAAGTTGGCTGGAAAGGTGGCTTAGCAGTTAAGAGCACTGTTTGCTCCAAGGGGTTGTTCACTATCTATACTGGGATATGATGCCTTCTTGATCTTCTCATTCTAGTTTATATATTTAGAAGCAATATAATGAAATGCTTTTGACGACGGTCTCCCTAATGAGCCATAGAACCAGAATGAATTCTTCTATAAAACTGTATTTTGGTGCCTGTTATCCAGTCTCATTTATCTCAACTCCCCACTTCTATTGATCATTGTTTTTTTTTCCCTCTCTTCTACATTTGATAAAAAGGAGACAAAGTCATTGATGTAAGTTCTATCTATCTCATTTTTCTGTAAATTCTTAATGAATTTCAAGGAAATACTTATTCATAGGCTTGGAATCAATCAAAGTAGAAGAAGCAAGAGTGTATTTTCCCGTAATACCATGTTTTTCACATCCATCACCCCAAATCTCCAATCCCTGGGACAGTTCTTACCTCCTACAAACTGTGCAGCTCCCATGCAACGCCCCATCATTCTAGAGATGAGTTCCTCCATGCAGCATCCTAGGACAGCAGCCAATGCCACCAGGAGCAGCAGAGCACAGCCAGCACCTGTCAACACTGTACATATCTGCCATGCCAGGCTTGGTATTGCGGTGAAGCTGGCATAGCGCCCACATTCTTCCACCATGATCAGACTGTGCCCATTTCCCCACACAGGGTAGTTGCATCTCCTGAATGTACTGAAAGATACTGGCTTTCCTAGCTGTGATCCAAACAGCCAGTAAGGAAGGAAGTAACTGGTAGAACTGGCCACAGCAGTAACTAGGGACAGAAAGGCCCAGAAGGTACCTATCAGGGTAAGGCTGCTCCTCATGGTCCCAGGTGTTTGTGCAAGGATGGAGAGATGAGATGGTTCACAGCAGCAAAAACAGCAAGTTATGATTCAGCCTCCACTGGCCTTTTTCCATCAGGTTGGCCGGTCCTGGGACTTATGGGTGTGCCACATGGGTCTTGCTTCTGGAGGAGATCATTCTCTCAAATGTCATTTGGGCCTTTGTGGGATATTGTTTTTCATCATTTTCTCCTTCTGCCTACTTCAGAGTTCTATAGTCGCTAGGCTGTAGTGGAAGAGTCACAGAATTGAATTAGTGATTGCTTTGGCAAACCAAATGGTAGCTTATCATCTAGCTTTTAACTCTTGATATACAACATGAGAAGAGAGTCAGAAAGTAAGGCTGTCTTAAGAGTTCCCAGGGATTCCAGCTGAATGACTTTGTGACACACTTTATTTCAGAAAATAAAAGAGTAAGATAAGTCAAAGACCCATCCCTGCCCCTATTTAAGATATAAGAGTGCAGTCTAAGATGTTACAATTTGACTTAGAGTGTCCAACAGTGTGTATGCTTATCACAGAAATACCAAAGTGAAACCAGTATGATAAAATAAAAGTTGACTAATTTTGTATCCTATGTCTATCACTGGGTCACTTCCCACAGAACTGAGGAGCAATATGTCAAACATCAGCATTTACTCCTAGACTAACTACCAAGAAAACCATCCACATCATTTGCTGTATACAGTTAAGAATGCTTCTCATCTCCCAGAAATATTTCAATATCAAACTTTCTCTGGAGAAGAACATTATATATCTATATCTACAGCTATATCTATCTCTGTATTGATAGATTGTTAGAAAGACTGATCAATAGATAGATGATAGATAGATATATAGATAGATGAATATGCATGCATGCATGTGTGTCTCTGTGTGTGTATGTGTGTGTGTGTGTATTTGTATGGGTCTTCGTAGATTCCCTTTGGAACAAGTAATCTCAAATTCAGGATACTGGCTTCCCAAATGACTTTCCCAGACTCCTCCATCAAAAATCAACCACTTTCTTCTCAATCCATTAACCTGTTGTTGCTAGTTTCCTTACTAATGCAACTAGAGACCACAATGTAGTTTGAGAATGCACTAACAATATCTCTAGCGGGCAGATAGTGGAATGTTTTGACAACTTCTCTCTGATTCACCACTACTGCTTAGAGTTATAAGTGGTGATATTGGAAAAGGGGGGCCCAAAGCACAGGGAGTATAAGGACTACCTGTATGAGACCACCATAATGCCAATTTGGGAGAACAACAGGAGCAAGCATCACCTCTATTTGGGTTCTCAGGACCTAGCTGTAAGGGACTTTGCAAGCACCATCAAATGATTCTTGGAACAGAGTAGGCATTACAATTCATCTTTGCTTAATAAACTTTTTTTAAAAAATCATCAAATTCCCAGACTGTCGGAGACTTTAATGAATCACCTAATTTAGCCTTCTTGCTTTACATATGGGTCAGTTTGGCTCAGCAAAGCAGGAAGTGATATTTTCCAGACACACTTAGTAACCAGACACACCGGAACTAGAAACCTGATATGAAGATTATGAGGCCTGAGTTTGGGGACCACTCAATGCTAACTTGCCCTCCTGCCATCATTTTATAGATATGAGTATAAGGAGGAAGTTCTTTACCAAAGGGTATAAAGCTAGTGGGGTACATAAGACTAGCCAGAGTTGAGTTGTTTCCTAGCATTATATTCTCTTTTCACTCCATCACATTTTCTTCTTGATACATATATATTTTATGCTATATGTTTTGTGCACGAAGGGAACTGAGATAATAAATTGCAGGTTCTTACTTTGGAATGCTAAGGTTTGACAAGAAAGTACCATGACCTGGTTCCCTAGGGATGAGGCTTTTTGCTGGTGAGTAGAGAGAATGAAAGAAAGATGTGGTGAGAGATTAGAGGCCAATGGGGGAAAGAGTAGAACTGGTTTGAATAATTGCTATTAGAAAGCAGGTATGTTTTACCACAATGAGGTAATACATCTACTTGTTATGGAGGAGTTTGTAAGAATATGAAAAGCATAATCAGTGCTCCATGGTGGACTTCTTTCTTAACTAAGATGCCTAGACAAGATGGGGAAAAAGTAAAAGCTAGTAAATAACTACTGGTGTCATCATCAAAATTTCTGGTCCCATTATTTCATGTGCTGTACTTAGAATTCTCAAGTTTGTAAGAAAAGTACTAGCCCTCTATTTACAAATAATCAAACTGGGGTCAGAAAGCCAAACAACTTTCCCAAGGATACATAGTGATTCAAAAGCCCAGTTATCACTTCTCACTCTCCTACCAACAACCTTCTCTTCCTGCAGTTTTACCCAAATAGAATTAGAGTATCACCCTGTATTATTACAGTTAAATGCTTCAAGAGTTTCAGATACACATTTTCAAAAGTACTTCAGAATGGGAGAAGAATTACAAAGCAAGGTAGACAAGAGGAATGCCCATTTCTCAAGTCATACTGTGTAACAAGAGCATTGGTTGCTTCAAGCCCTGCACTTGAAGTCTTCAATAAAGTCTCCCATCAATATCATCATTTTAAGATCAAAAGTTCTAGCATGACAACTAAAAAGAATGGCAGAGTATATACGGCAGAGGAAGAGTATAATCAGTTAGTAATAGCCAGACTATAAAAGAAGGAAAGGGAAGAAGTCCAGCAAAGAAATACACACCTAAACTCACAGGGCTGGAGAGGGTAAGGCAGGGGAATGGTAGTTAGAGGCCATCCTGGGCTAGACAGAGTGACACTTTCCCATATATATACAACTAGATAAGGAGAAAAAGATTCTAATATAACATTGACCTCATCTGTGAAAACAATGCTGTTAAATGAAGTACAATACTACCAGTTAGTATCACCCTGATTCATTTCAAAAGTAGAACTGTGAAGAAAAAGTGTAGAAAGTCAAAACCTTAAATTTTAGTACAAATGTATCTAGCTAAAAAAAATTAAAAAAAAACTCATTGTTTTTTAGAATTTAAATTAAGTACTTTAACCTTTGGAAAAACTAGAATTTCCTTATTTTCATTAAGACTGGTGTAAACAAAGGCTGCCTGGGACTGAAGCGTTTTGTGGAATGTGGAATTTCCTGTGACAAACTCAGTAAAGTCCAAAACTACCTGAGTTGAGACAGTCACCATATTTAGAATTAGAGATATTGTAAGCCAACATCATCAATGGGCATCAGGTTAAGAATCATTGCCTCAGATCTTCTAATGTTCTCTCTCTATGACCATGACTCAAATGATATTAACCTAAAACTTACCAAGAAATTCAATCCTGAAAAAGTGAGGTGTATACATTTTGCCTTATTCCTCTCTGAATCATGGACTCTCGACCTCATCAGGTCAGTGACTAGATTGCAGAGGTTTGGTTACTCATTATTTCTGGAGCATATAGTAAAAGAGGGCCTAGTTTCCCCATAGGTGGACAGAGAATCAGCAGAGCATGTGCAATGTATGTAGTCACATTGTCACACATTCACAGTTGCTGAGCAGGGATGCACAGTCTATCAATTGGTTTTAGCTGCATCACTTGCAATAGACTAATCCCCTTTATGGTAGCTATATAAAGCAATCCAACTTCATTGCCAGAAGCTGATTAAGTCACTTTATTCTCACATCAATAAATATGATAAACAATGCCATCCTTCATTTTATCCTAATGCCCTATACACTTTGCTTCTATTTCTCAGTCCTGAAATATCTAGCCTTGCAGACAAACAGCACTTTAGAAATCAACACAGCACCATAGTGTTTTCTTTGGTCATGCGTAGGTGGGTAGAGAATTTACGTGGTTACGTGTTCTTTTATTAGCATATTTTCCATTCTTCAAAATGAGCCTCCTCTCCCATTGTCATACATTTTTTTTTCTTAGTGCTTGCTATCATATATGCCCATTCTGATGTGGCCACTTAATAGCAATTAAACTAGAAACATTTTGTGCTTACATTTTGCCTATTGGGAAACCTTCACCAATTTAATCTCTTCTCTAGTCCTGATAGAAAGACACAAATTCTTACATTCCCACTGGAGATCATTTTATAAATTCTGATTTAAAAATAAATAAAACAGTTCCCAATGGCAACAGTATTCAGACAATAAAGACTCTGAGCTGCAGGTGCTAATGCAAAAATTGCTGCAAACATGGTTGTATGAGAAATAGGAATTTTGGCATTGGTGTTAGTAAAGGAATATGGACAAGTCTTTCTCCTCAGCTCCTAGGCAGTGTGCATTGCCCACCTGCCAAAACTTTTACAGGTACATCTTCTGCAGTATTTGGAAAACAGCAAGATGTGCAGACATATGTGTCTTATAGATATAGTTCTCTTGTATCAGGCTGGGTTTATAATCAGTCTACCCATTCCAGACCTTTCTCATTTAAACATAATATTGAAAGAAAGCAACCATGTTCCAATCATTTCCCAACTACCTGTGTCCTTATGTCTGCCACTTATGTCCTTAGAAGTTTCTCCTCCTCAAGAACAGCTGCTTGAAGGTCTTCTGTGCTTGACTCCCTGTCAAGATAATGTCTCTCAATGGGCTTTGTTCTCTACTTGCATCTGTGTGACTCTAAGAACATCACACTAATTTTGACCTCAGTTTTCAAGATTGCTGAAACTACTCCTGGGCCTCCAACCCCACCCATCCCTCTCTTTTTGTCTAGCATAGAAAGACTTGCAGAACCAGCTATGTTGGGTTACTTTGTTTATTTACTTGTCTCTCATCATCCTGAGGTACAGATCTTTACAAGCAAACACAAGACTAAATTCAGGAAGCAAGAGAGTAAACAGATATAGAGAACAACCTGGTTGATAAAAAATCCAGAAATTTGAGGTGGTTGTTCTGCCCCTTTGAGCCTTTGCAGTGTACTCAATCAACTTAATCAAAAACCTAGAAGGTCACCTTTAAATAATAGAGCTAGCAGTGCAGAGGTGGGGAGAGTTCACAAACAAAACAAAATAAACAAAAAATTCCACATTAGCCCATTCTCTTTCTCCAATGTTTGAGGCTGAAAATGGGGGAACTTGGGTGATTTTCCTAAATTTCACATGAGCTTCTCCTGACCCTGAAATGCTATTTCCTGAACACACCTATCTGTCTAATGATTTATAAACTTGGGAAGAATCTAGCCCGACAAAATAAAAGTACCCCCCTCTTCAATGATTAATTGGCTGAGTAGGAAATCTACCACACCCTATCAGGTAATTCAGCTGTTCTTTCAATATAAGGATGAATCCTACCATCAAGGGAATGAATGATTTTGACAAAGCAAACATTTTCCTTCATCTTTAGGTTCATAACTGCAACCTGCTAGTTCTATGCAGAAAAATAAATCTTTTATTCCATGTCCTCAGAATAAAATGCCTCCACAACTGAAAAGAAGGCAGACTAAATGGTCTTCCACTCAGTTCAGAATAGTTGGAATGTAGCATCAAAAAAAAAAAAAAAGTCTTTGATATTAGGAGCAGTAACTCCCCTGCATCAGGATTACTTTAGATGCTCTTTCAAAGTAGAATTTCTCAATTCTCTTCCAGATTCACGGAATTTGAGTTCAGTTTTTAAAATTCTCAGTTTATTCTGATGGGCACTCATGATTGAGGAGTCCTCTTTTAGTGGAAATGAATGGGATTTTGAAATCAAGTTGGATATAGACACCTGAAGTCTTCTCCTCAAAGGTGATGTGAATATGGGCAAAATCACTTTAAGCCTTTGAGTTTTTATTTCATCTATACTGGAAATAATGGCATGAAGTGCAAGTGAAACATAACATACATGGTATATCTGAAACCAGGGTTGGTATCAATTATCTTTTCTGTAACCAAAAAAAGAAAAGACAGAATTGTCACATAATAGAAATAACTTGATTTTACTCAGAAAAAGAAAATTGCCTCTGGCCTCCTCCTACCCCCTCTCTTTAAAACCCCTCTAGAAGTTGGTGCTCCTGGGGTTCTTACTATTCTTTTCCCACTATAAAATGAAACTACTTGGCTGAGTGCTGTTTGTTAGCATGGATTAACAGTTAACGTCATTCAGCTTTCTTGTAAATCATCACGCTTGGCACATAGTAGGAACTCATAAACAGTTACTGAATGAATGCCAAGATTTAACTCCAGCCTTACTGGACTCAACATCTGCACTTCAGTTTAACCTGATTATTGTTTTGGTTCTGTAATTTCAATTTAGGCAAGTCTGAGATACTGCCCTACCACATCGGGAAATCAGATTCATTTTCACTTGGATGGACAAGTTAGAACAAAATCACTTCCTCTACTCCCAGAGAAAGTCTGCCTTTTCTCTCTTCAGGTTAGAAACTCCTTTGGGGGAAAGAAGCTAGCTCTTAACCCTTAGGTCTTCAAGCCTTGTCAATATGAAATAGGAATCCAGACCGATCCCACAAAGACTGTGCAAGCAACCAACTATGAGGAAGTATAAATATACCAGGCTGCCCTTGGGAAGAAAAACAGCTTCTCTGAGCTTTGACATGAAAGGACAGGAAGCAGGAGGAAAGGAGAGGGAAGAAGCTTTGAGCAAGGGAAGAGCAAAGCAGGGATTTTGTTTATTTGGTTGGTTTGTTTTTATCCAGCTGCTTCAGTTGCATTTGGCCAAGTTGCATATTTACCTTCTAACCACGAAGGCTGATTGACTTGTTCCTTTTCTTCTGGTTCAGATTGGAGAAAATAAGGAAAAAAATACCAAAAAATTTCTCACAGCTTGCCAGACAGGGATGGGAATCCCAGTTGCTCTGTGCAGTGATGCCTGAAAACCTAGCTTTACCTTTGGGAGAGAGGGGCGGAGTCCAGCATAATGGAATTAACTCCAACTGTGCTGGAGGCTTTAAACTCAGCCTCTTATACAAAGGCACTTTAAGTAGGAACCAGTTAGGCAGGCACTGAGCCCTCACCCTCTCACCTCCCACCTCCTAGCTTCCAAGTGCTCCCAGCTGCCAAGTGCTCTTCTCTCTTCCTTTCTCTCTCTCTCTCTCTCTCTCTCTCTCTCTCCCCCAATATGCGTGCATGCGCGCGTGCGCGCGTGTGTGTGTATGTGTGTGTGTGCGCATTCATATACACACACTTAAGCTGCATTTCTATGGCTCACTTCCTCACCTGCTGAATGCCCACTGAGGAACTGAGCTTCTCCCTAATTTTTCTCCAAACCCCCAAATAATATCTAACACAGGGATTAGGGAGTTGGGGAAAAAACGAACAAACATCCTCACCTTTAAACAGCACTTTCCTTCAAACTGTTGTATATTGTTTTCTGGAAAACAATGCTCCAATAGAGAAAGTTTTGAGTCAGTGATGATGCAAACTAACATCTGACATAATCTGATTGGCCTGCTCTTTGATCACCTCCCCCTGAGGGGGGAGCAGCCTTACCAGGCCACAGAAGATGACAATGCAGCCAGTCCTGATGAGACCTGACAGACTAAGATCAGAAAGAAGGAGAGGAGGACCTCCCCTATCAGTGGACTTGGGGAGGGGCATGCATGCAGAAAGGGGAAGGAGGGTGGGATCGGGAGGGGAAGAGAGAGGGGCTTATGGGGGGATACAAAATGAATAAAGTGTAATTAATAAAAAATTAAAAAAAAAGAAAACAGCAGAGTATTTGTGGCTGGCTCCTGCAGGGTATCAAAGCAGATGCTGAGACTTATGGCCAACCTTTGAGCAGAGTGCAGGGAATCTTATGAAAGAAGTGGGAAATAGTAAGACCTGGAAAAAACAGGAGCTCCACGAGGAGAGCAACAGAACCAAAAAATCTGGGCAAAGGGGACTTTTCTGAGACTGATACTCCAACCAAGGACCAATCATGGATATATCCTAGAACCCCTGCACCGATGTAGCCTATGAAAGTTCAGTGTCCAAGTGACTTCCATAGTAATATGAACAGGAACTGTCCCTGACATGAACTAATTGGCCTGCCTTTTGGTCACCTCCCCTTGAGGTAGGAGCAGTCTTACCAGGACACAGAGGAAAACAATGCAGCCACTCCTGATGAGACCTGATAGACTAGGATCAGAAGGAAGGAGAGGAAGACCTCCCCTATCAGTGGACTGGGAGAAGGGCATGGGTGGAAGAGGGGCAAAAGGGAGGGATTGGGAGAGGAGGTGGGAGGGAGCTACAGGAGGGATAGAAAGTGAATAAATTGTAATTAATAAAAATTAAAATTATAAAAACAAAGAAAAAACAGCAGAGAAATTAACTCAAAAAAATCAGTAGCCTTCGTGTATACAGAACACAAATGGGCTGAGAAAGAAATTTGGGAAACAACACCTTTCACAATAGCCACAAAGGATATAAAGTACCTTGGTGTAACTCTAACCAAGCAAGTCAAACACTTGTATGAAAAAAATTCCAGTCTCTGAAGAAAGAATTAGAAGAAGATATCAAAAGATGGAAAGATCTCTCATGCTCATGACTTGTCAGGATTAACATAGTAAAAATGGCCATCTTACCAAAAGCAATCTACAGATTCAATAAAATTTCACCTAATTACCAAAACAATTCTTTACAGACAAGAAAAGAAAAATTTTCAACTTCATATGGAATAACAGGAAACCCAGAATCACTAAAACAATCCCCTACAATAAAAGATCTTGTGGAGGTATCTCCATCCCTGATCTCAAACTATATTATAGAGCAACAGTAATAAAAACTGCATGGTACTGGCATAGAAACAGGCTGGTGGATCAATGGAATTGAATAGAATACCCAGAAATAAACCCACACACTTATGAACACCTGTTTCTGCTGTTGATTGTGTTAATGTGTATATTATATACACTAAATCTTTTACATATTAAGTTATGCTTGCTTTCTCTAGTATAAATTTCACTTTAGTGTTCTTTAAACTCAATTTGCTGATATCTCATTAAGGGATTCTTTAATAGTAATTAATTAGGGATATTTTTAAAAAAAATTTACATTATTGAAATAGTCCCTGTTTTTACTATCACAGATTTCTTGTTTATTTATGATTCAATTGTGGTAAATTTCACATTCCTAGGAATCCATCTATTTCTTTGAACTTATGAGATGTGGAGATAAACAACTGTTTATAGTATTCTTTTATATCCCCATTGTAATTGTTTGGCTTCACTTGTCTCTGATATTGCTCACCACTAAAAACGGAGCTATGTTTAGGATACTCCTAATTTCTTCAGTGTCTTTCTCATCTGTGGAAAATTCTTACCAGTCACCTTCTTATGCAGAGTCAGTTTTACTTAAGACCAGTGGAGATTTTTTAAAATTATTTCTTGTAAAGCTAAAAAAAAAGAAACTTATAAAATAAAGATTCTATTTAGATTTATAAGCAATATGTCTGTAAGTCAATCCTTCTCAATTAGCATTACTCTCTTACTTCGTAGGGCATTTTACTGCTTACATTTAAGTGCATAAGTCCAAGCCTATAGTTAGGTCTTTTACCAAGTGCCACCTTTCGAAGTAATTGCTGGGTATTTTAGTCTCTCTTTGCAACAAGAATATCTTTTCTTTCATTAATCCTATAGTGGACTGAGAATGGTGTTTTTCTGCCTAAGCTTTTCCCATCTCTGGCCTACAAAGACGAGGGAGTGGTTTCCTGACCAAATATAGGCTAAAAGTGCAGCCTCTGCATTGCGCTAAAGATGGGTATATTTAGAGAGATCAGGAGGCCTGAGGTAAACCACTGGGAATTATATAGGAAAGTTGACCACAAAGCTTCTGCTACTATCTTAGTTTGCTTTGTGTTGCTGTGATAAATACTAGGACCAAAAACTAACATGGGAAGGAAAAGGTTTATTTCATCTTAAGGTTTACATACATCCAACATCAAGAGAAACTAAGGCAAGAATTCAAGACAGGAATGTGGAGAAAACTGAAGCAGAATCGTGGAGGAACCTTGCTAACTCATGTGATCCCTCTGGCTTGCTCAATTATTTTGTCTTATAGTTCAGACCTCCCTGCCAAGGCACAGTGCTGTCCACAGTGGATTGGCACTCCTATACCAATTAATAATTAAGAAATTTCCCCACAGGCCAATCTGATAGAAATATTTTTTTTCAATTGATGTTCCTTCTTTCTAGGTGACTGTAGTTTGTATGAACTCAAACTGACTGTCATAGGTACATAGCATGGGTAATAAACAACTGGCTTTAAGCATCCAAATGAAGAAGCAAAGGGCTTTTCATCAACATGAGTCCAAAGTCCAAATGAGATGAGCCAAGCATGGACCTCTTCTTTCCCTTAACTCCTCCTGCTACAATCCCTATCCATGCATTGTACAAGCCACTTACAACTATTGCCCAACCCATCATGACCTTGTTTCCATCTCTCTTCTACTTCCTTCCTCAAACCAATGCCTTTCTGTTATCACCGAGTTTTCCTCCCCACAAAGGAAAATGCAATAAACATAAAACTATTTAATGTGGTTTGATGAAAAACGCCTCTCACAAAGCTCAGACTCATTGAATTACACCAGAAAAAGGAGAAGAACAACATAATTTTTTCATTATCACAAGCTACAAAAAAAACTTAGTTACAAGATGACAGACAGGGACCGAAACGTTAGCCTCACATTACAATGTGGACAGTGAACAGTAACAGACAATGGCTTCTCGAAAGTAGTCGACTGTGTAGACAACAAGTTTTTGACGATCTGGTACACAGTGACAAAAAGAAAGGCAATATATGAGGAGATATGATAAGCCAGCAAAATGGCATTGCAGAAATCTATGAAAGCCAAGTCTCTTTCTCTGACAAACATGTCCACTTGCATCCCCATTTGTGCCTGTCAGTCTTTGAGAGAAATCTAATAATAGAGTTTTGTGTGAATGTAGAGAGCAGGATGACATCAAATAATCATGAGGCATCCTGGTGATTAAAGAGCTAATTGTGTTGAAGGTCATCTGTCCTGAGCTTAGGGAGAAAATATCAAAATGTGAATTGTTACCCAAAGCTAACAGCTGTTTCTTCAGAGCTTCCATTTAGCTTAGAATGCAAAGAAAATCATATTATTGACTCACAGATGGAGTGTGCCTTCAAGTGCCACTTGCATCAGCTTTTCTTCATGTTTCTGGAAGGTCAGTACATCCTTGATGTGTATAATTTGATTTTGTCTTCTTTGTGGGATTCTCAAGTGATTGGTATTCAAACAGTACTCATTCCTATTCTAAACAATTTCAATAATACTTGGTGTTTCATTAAAAGGCTCAGATTAAACATAGTGTAGGATTGATGGAAGACATTAGTTAAGTCCCTTGTGTTCCCTGGTGTCCATTTGCCATTTATTTTTGTTTGTTTCCTCCAGTGAAGAGTGGGGGATTCCCAGTGCTTCCCTTAGAGTCTAAGGCTTAGAAGGAAAGAAAAGGTCTTAGTTTAAAAAAAAAAGTCTTAAAACAAGCTATTGTTAAACTTGCCACAAAACAAACAAATAAAAGATAACAACAGGAAATAAAGACATCTTGGGTAGATTTCAGTATGCTAACCTCCTTAGTGTTATCCTTAAAGGGAATGGTGGGTGGGTGTTCTTATTTGTATTCAGTTATTTTCTTTCCTTTCCTTTTGTGGTGAGAGGAAGCTTTTAATCTTTTAATAGAAAATAACCATTCAACTTTGCCAATCACAAAGGTCATGAGAATTCCTCATTATTGCTTGTTACTTTCCCTGACCTAGGGCTAA